TTATATTTTTCCTGCACAGCCTTAGAACCAGTCATTTTCTAAGGAACCATGGTTCCATTTACTGATAATGTTATTTAGAGACCAAAATCAGGGCACAAAATGTGCTCATTGCCACTGCTACTAGGGTGTCCACCCTTGGTGGGCAAAGCTAGGAAATCTGTGTACATGAATCCATGTATCTACTGGTACCTATATTTCTATGTCTAGACATAGTAAAATAAATGAGTTCATACTGATTTCCCCAACTCATTTATGATGTGGAAACAAAGGCAAAAGAAATATAGAAAAAAATTAAACTTCCTCATCATTTACAGCCCACTGATAAGTACTTGGGACAGGCAGAGTGACCATCTCCAGGGAACTTAGCTGCTCAATGTTAATACTTTTCTAGAGGTAAAAGGCAAACTTAGCTTGACATTAGCCTGACCTCCAGGTTCCTGTAAAAGTCCCTTTGGAAATTTATTTATCTCTACCCCCCAAGATATATTTTAACAATCATTCTCCAAGCATATGGCCCACTGATACACATCTGAAGAGTCTCATGACTAAGGTTTTACTAGACAGTAATAAATGATCTTTTCCTAACAACAGCTAGCCTCTCAAGGTCCTGGAAACCTTGCTTCCCAAATTCCTTAGAGACCTACACCATCCCTAACCCCCTCCCAACTTGAAAGTGTATAATCAGCCACTCCTCACAACCCCGTGCAGCTCTTTCTGTCCAGGGATCCTGACCCTGTGGTGTAATAAAACCACCTTTTTGCACCAAAGACATCTCAAGAATTCTTCCCTGACCATTCGTTCCTAAACCCCAACTTTTCACATCAATCTCTCTATTTTTTTCTGAAACAATGAACTATTTTATCATATATGTATGATAAAATAAATTATATATATATATCATAAATGTATACATATATAGATACCTCTTTAAAAGTTGATCCATCATTGGAATCTAGATAATCTAAGTACAAAATGGAAGTGATCAAGAAAACCACTTAAATTACTTAAAAGGAAATAAATTCAGTTCCTCTTTCAATTCTAATGTTACATAGAGGGACTACTGGGAAACAGATACTTTTTATTCTGATCATTACATTGTGGCTTTATAGAAGATAGAGTATTTAAATGTAGCAATCTTAACCAGAAGTCAGTACTCCTGCAAAGGATTATTTCAGGGGGAACAGTTGCATTATTACCTTGCAACAATTTTGTAGAATGTGACTTTCAAACCTGAGATCTGGGAAAAATCAAAGATTAAGAGGATGCCCATTCAACATTAAGAAAAGAATTATGGGATATAGTAATAACAACTGTGGGTAAACACATATAATAAAAATAATTGTGGGGCGCCTGGGTGGCTCAGTTGGCTAAGCGACTGCCTTCGGCTCAGGTCATGATCCTGGAGTCCCGGGATCGAGTCCCGCATCGGGCTCCCTGCTCGGCAGGGAGTCTGCTTCTCCCTCTGACCCTCCTCCCTCTCATTCTGTCTCAAATAAATAAATAAAAACTTTAAAAAAAAAAAAATAATTGTTAAGGAAAGTATGGATGATTTTCTCAATCAACAAATCTTAGCTTATGATAAAATTCAATATTTCTAACATTCTTTTCTCTTACCTTCTTTCCCTCCATTACACTCACCTGGCCAAGTGCCAACTCTGGCTGACTCCCCATCACCACCACCACCCCCCTCACCTCACCACTCCCCTCACCACCTCCCTACCCCATCCCACCCCCTGCCACCCCAAACCATCCACCTACTCCTGGCTTACACCTGCACCAGAGGCGTTGCTAGAATCTAATGCCTAAATGAGTTGCCAGGTCTCAACGAAGTTCACAATCACAAATCCAAAACTGACATTTAACATTGCCTAGCAATTCTATAGTTCCTGCTTTCCTGGACACCTATATCATACTTTCTCTTCTCCTCTTTCCTCAGAATAATCTTACACTCTCTTCCCAAACAAATACACATTCCCTTTTGATGACTTTGCCTCATACATCATGAAGAAGTAGAAGAAATTAGACCAAAGGTATCATCTCGCCAACCTACCGCTATGTTTACCTACACTTTGCCTCCCCTCTGTTTCTTGATGAAGCGCCCTTGAACCTGTTACTGTCTGAACCTCACTTTCTCCCCTCAACCCTCTCCATTGACATTTCTGTCTACCAGTGAGGTTGTTCTCATCAAGGACACTGATGTCCTCCATCTTGCCAAGCCAGTGGTCCTACTAAGTTCTTAACAGATCTCCAAGTGCCATTCTTAACAGTTGGCCACTTCCTCTTTTCAAACACTCCCTGAATCACACTATAATGGTTAATTTTATGTGTCAACTTGACTGGGCCATGGGGTAACCAGATATTTGGTCAAACATTATCCTGGGTGTTTCTGTGAGCATGTTTTGGAGATTAACATTTAAACCAGTGGACTGTGTAAAGTAGATTTTTCTCCCTAATATCAGTGGGCCTTATCCAATCAGTTGAAGGCCTGAACAGAACAAAAGGCCTGACTCTTCCATGAGCAAGAATTTCTCCTGCCTAACTGCCCTCAAATTGGGACATCAGCTTTTTTCTTGCCTTCAGACTTGAACTGAAATACCAGATCTTCCTGGGTCTCAAGCCTGCTGGCCCTCAGATGGGAACTGCATGATCAGCTCACCTGGTTTTTCTCAAGCCTTTGACTTGGACTGAAGCTAAACCATCAGCTATCCTTGATCTCCAATTTGCCAACTCACTCTGCAGATATTGGGAGATATTGGGGCTTGCTGGGCTCTGTAATCATGTGAGCCAATTCCTATAATAAATCTGTGTGTGTCTGTGTGTGTGTGTCTCCTATTGGTTCGTTTCTCTGTAGAACCCTAATCAATACATATACTCTCCTGGTTTTTCTCCTGCCCCATTAGGTACCCCTTGGCCAAATCCTGCTCTGCTCCATCTCTAAGTGTTGGAGTAGTCTGGGTGTGGTTCTAGGCCCTCTGTTCCTCTCTATCTACATAATAACCTCCACCAGTGTCCTCATCCTGGCACTGTGGCTTTAAATAGTGTCTGTGTGCCAGTGATTCCCAAATCTGGATCTCATACCCTGATTTCTCCACTTAACTCTAAACTCATGTATTCATACTTATTTGTCATCTCTTGCTGGATGTTTCATAGGCATCTCTATATGGCCAAGACTTAACTCCCAATTCCTTCCCCAAACATTATTCCTTTTCCAGTTTTCTTCCTCACCATGCATAATGACACCATCCACCCAGGGGCTCAAGCCAGAAGTCAGATGGTCTTCCACTACCAGGCACACTGTGGAGATATTGTGAGCTCGGTTCCAGACCACCGCAATAAAGTGAATATTGTAATAAAACAAATCAAATAAATTTTTTGGCTTCCCAGGGCAAATAAAAGTTATGTTTACACTCTGCTGTGGTCTATTAATTAATTGTGTGATAAGCATTATGTCTAAAAAAGTGTACATGCCTTCATTTAAAAATACTTTTTTGCCAAAAAAATGCTAACCGTCATCTGAGCCTTCTTCAGTGAGTCATCGCTTCTCGGCCTTTTGGCTAAGATCAAGTGAGCTTTCAGTGAGTCATAATCACTGATCACAGATCACCGTCACAAATATAATAACAATGAAAATGTTGAAATATTGAGAGAATTACCAGAATGTGACACAAAGACATGAGGTGAGCCAATGCTGTTGGGGAAAGATGGCGCTGACAGACATGCTCCACAGAGGGCTGCCACAAGCCTTCGATTGGTAAAAGCCACGGTAAACCACGCAGCACAGTAGGAGGAGGTATGCCTGTGTTGCTTCCTCTCCCTTCCCCTCTACCCGACACATGCCATCCACCAGCCTGTCAGCAAATTCTTTCAACTGCCACCATATAATCCCAATATCGGTCAGCATCACTCCAGCTCCAGCCACGGAGTCCTCTACCCTGGATTGCTGCAACCCTCCTCACTCTCAGGGTCTAATCTTGTCCCCCCTTCCCAAAATTCATTCTTTGTGCTTTAGGCAAAGGAGACTCAAGAAATAAATAAACAATATCACATAATTCCCCTGCTGCAAGTCTCCAAGGGCTTCCTCTCATAATTAGAATAAAATCCAAACTCCGTAGGTGGCCTCTAAGCTCTGTGTGATCAGATGCATGAATCCTCCAAGTTCGTTCTTATCTTGGGATCTTTGCTCTAGCAGTCAGCAGAGGGCTGCCCACACTGCTCACCCTGTCCTCATCTTCACGTAGCTTGAGTTCTTGTCACTGAGGTCTCAGTTTACATAGTACCTTTGAGAGACTTCCCTTATCTGAGCTCCCCAGCTAAAGAAAGACTACTGTCTCTCACTTCATGGCCTTCTGCTACCCAGTTCTTCCCTTTCCCTCCAGGATGAATGAAGGATAGTGCATGCTATTGTCATTCTAAAGAGCACAGCATTAAAGAAAGAGTAGGAACGTTTGAATGAGAATTTTAAAATGATCCTTTTGGGGTGCCTGGGTGGCTCAGTTGGTTAAGCATCTGACTCTTGATTTGGGCTCAGGTCATGATCTCAGGGTCGTGAAATAGAGTCCCCAATGAGCCATGTCAGGCTCCGCACTCACTGGGTATTCTGCTTGAGATTCTCCCCCTCCTTCTCCCTCTGCCCCTCCCCCCAACTCATGTGCCCAGGCACTCTCTTTAAAAAAAATAAAAAATAAAAAATAAAAATGATCCTTTTGTCCTTTTGTAACCCCGTTTGTTTTCTTCAAGTGAAATAATTTCTTAGTTGTTTGCTTATTTACTCATCTATTCATTCAGCAAACATTTGTTGAGTACTTACCACGTGCTAGTGATTGTCCTTAGTCCTGGACACACGACAGTGAATAAGACAGACATAAGGCTTACATTCTATCAAGAGAAGAAAAACAAACAAAAAAATCACACTTTGAAAAAGTAAAAATAAAAAGAGAGTGATGTGATCGTGAGTAGCTGCCAGGCTACCTTATAGGCAGCAGGGCAATTAAGTGAAGTCCCTGACGAGCTACCGTCTTGCAGTTATATCGGCATCTTTGCAAACCTTTGCTGGGATTTAGTCTCCTTACTGTAAGATGGGAATAATAATAATAAAATCTATCTCACTGGTTTTTTGTGAGATGGTATGAGTTTTGCACGTAAAGTGTCAGAAAATGCCTGTCATATAAAAAAAAAACAATTTATAAATGTTAGTTTTTATTATCACTTTAAACTGAGGTCCCAGATAAGATTTCTTGGAGGAAGAAACACTTAAGCTGAGGCCTAAAGGACAAGTAGGACCCAGCCTTGTGGAGATGGGGGCCAAGAAGAGGGTTCTGGGCAGAGGAAGCAGCTGGTACAAAGGTTTGGATGGGGCAGTTCCGGTTCTGAAGCTGGGTGGGAGGTGAATGATCATGTGCCCTGTAAGCCTGACAAGGGAATGTGAATTTCATTTAAATGCTTTGAAAAAGCAATGATCCTTTAAAAAAGGATCACTCAGCCTGTTTTGCAGATCTGAGATTTCCCTCCCATTCAAACTTAAATTATAAAGTACAATGCTTCGGTTTAACAGATCACGAAAATATAAAAATGACTCTAATTCAGCTAAGTTGGATTTGAAGGCAGAGAACACCAAGTGTGATTTAGAGATTGTAGGGAAAGGAAATGAGCTTTAGATGAAACCATGTTTACTAGTAAACTGTTCAGGGCACTAGTTCTCAAGCTTGGAAGCACATTGGAATCAACTGGTAAGATTTACAAAAGATACTGATTCCCAGGTCCCATTCCCAGGTAATCTGATACAATTAGTCTGGGGTGCAGTATGGGCATTGGGCATTTTTAAAAGAACCCCAGGTGATTCAAATGTATGAGCAAGTTTTATAAACACTAATTTGGGGGAGACTTTAAAACTATTTCTCCCAGTGTGCAAATTCTGGTTATTAGGTTTGTGTAGGTTACTATAAAATATACCAGTGTGGGGATGCCTGGGTGGCTCAGTTGGTTAAGCATCTACCTTCGGCTTGGGTCATGATCCCAGGGTCCTGGGATCGAGCCCCACATCGGGCTCCCTGCTCGGCGGGGAGCCTGCTTCTCCCTCTCCCTCTGCCTGCCCCTCCCCCTGCTTGTGCTCTCTCTCTCTGACAAATACATAAAATCTTTAAAATAAATAAACAAACAAATAAATAAATAAAACAAGCTTCACTGACTCTGGGGAAAAAAAAAAATATATATATATATATACCAGTGTGCACACCAACTTTCATAGCAGTATTATTCACAGTAGTGAAAAGATGGAAACAACCCAGTACCCACTGATGGATGTGAATGGATAAAGAAAATGTGCTGTATACACACAATGGACTGTTATTCAGCCTGCAAAAGGAACAAAAGTCTGGTAGATACTACAGCGCGCATGGACCTGGAAGACATCACGCTGAGTGAAATAAGTCAGACACAAAAGGACAAACACTGCATGATTCCAGTTGTATGAAGTTCCTAGAAGAGTCTAATTCATAGAGACAGAAAGTAGAGCAGAGGTTACCAGGGGCTAGGAGGAAAGGGAATGGGGAGTTACTATTTCATGGGTACAGAGTTTCAGTTTGGGAAGAGGACAGATTTCTGAAAACGGTTGGTGGTGATGCTTGTACAACATGGTGAATGCTCCTGATGCTGAAAACAGTTAAAATGGTCAAATCGTGTGTTATGTATATTCGACAACAATAAAAAAATTCAAACAAAAACAGTTGCCAGGGGTGGGCTGTGAACCGCTTTTTCCAACTAGGTGTAGAGAGTTACTGTGAAGGAATATGGGACAGGGTGGTTTCATAATTGCCTTAATAGAGTTTGTCTGGTAGTGGTTTTTTCCCCACGCCATTTTCAAAGAAGGTTGCTCTTTTCCTTTCCTTACGACTGGCTGTCATAAAAGCTTCCCGCGTATGCAGACAGATAGAGACAGGAAGCAGTCATCAGCAGCGCCCGGCTGGGAAGCCTCTGGTGTGGGGCCTTTGGGGGCAAGGATCAGACATGTGCCTTCTTCACCCTCGCACCTTTGATGTGCTCCTGCCTGGAACGCACATGGACACACCCGACAAAACTGAGACACCAAAATCACCATTGTCATCAAGTGACACTTACCAAGAGAGGTCTAATTTGTATCTGACTTGCTAATGCTTTTGGTGTTCCGAAGAGGAAGATAAATTGAATGGAAGCATCTCTGTTTGGTATCAATTTTCATGACGTAAATGAGGCCATTTCAAAACTGTCTCAGCTGCAAGAAAGGGATCACAATATCAGACAAAGGCTTTGAGTTACAGTCGTTGTGATTATCTGCTTTAGCAGAACATAGGTAAGCTTTCTCGGCTTGGTTTTCCTATGCAAAAGAATTGTATCATAAATTCATGTTGGATACAAGTAGCAAATTGCTCATATTTAGAATTTTTCTCAATTTTGAAAGATGTAGAGGCTAGGAGATCTGTCACATATACTTGCTCCCCAAGCAGAGGATAGAACTGCGTGTCTAGAAGTGTGATCCTGGAATACGGCCAGCCCACTGTGTGTATGAAGTTCCTAGGACCACTGTCACAAATGACCACAAACTTGGTGGCTTAAAACAACACATGTTTATTGTCTTACAGTTTGAAATCAGTTTCACTGGGATGACATTAAGGTGTCTGCAGGCCCACACTTTTTTTGTAGGCTCAAGGGAATAACCTATTTCTTTCTTTTTTTTTTTTTATTTAAGATTTTATTTATTTACTTGACTGAGAGGGGAAAGAGAGAGAGAGCACACAAGTGGGGGGAGCAAAAGAAGCAGTCTTCCTGTCAAGCAGGGAGCCCAACGTGGGGCTTGAGCCCAAGGTGATCACGACCCGAGCTGAAGGCAGATGCTTAACCAACTGAGCCACCCAGATGCCCCAGGAACAACCCATTTCTTTGCCTTTTCCCGCTTCCAGAGCTTTATTCCATGCCTCCCTCCTCCGTCTTCAAAGCCAGCAGCATATCCTTAGCTGTAGCGCTGCTTTCTTCTGTTCTGCCGTCCAGTCGCTCTCGGTTTCCTTCTTATAAGGACACCTGTAATTACATTTACAGTCCGCTCAGGTAGTCCCGGGTAATTTCTCCATCTCAAGATCTTTTGTTTAATCACATCTGCAATATAGGTTAAAATTCACAGGTTCTGGAGATTAGGATGTAGATATACTTGGAGGCCACTATTCAAGCTACCATAGTGAGGACCTGCATTTTGAATAGAAGGAAATTTGAATTTAAATAACCATGTGGCTAGTGGCTACCATTTTGGACACAGATACACAGAATATTTTCAAATTCACAGGAGGTTCTATAGACCGCACTGCTTTAGTGTTGTCTAAAAGCCAATACCAGTTATAAAATAAATAAGTCACAGAGATGGAAAGTACAGCATAGGGAATATAGTCACTAATATTGTAATAATGTTAATAACATTGTGTGGTGACAGATGGTAAGTACACTTATCACGATGAGCCCTGTGTAATGTATAGAATTGTTGAATCACTATATTGTGCACCCGAAACTAATATAACATTGAATGTCAACTATACTTAAATAATAAAAAAGAGTTTTAAAGCTCCTCATGAATAAAAAGAAAAGAAAAGGCCAAAAGCAGATGCTTTGTTTTATAGCCATCTTGAGTTTATTGTTGGGCTATGCTTCAAAAAAAAAAACTACATAAATTTGTCTTTTAGAGATTTGGAACACATCATCCCATAGATAGAATGAGGAAAACTAGTGATTCTTCACCATCGAGCAAAGATTTAATGAGTATTTTTGATGGGCCAGGCACTGAACTCCGAAAGTAGTTCACAATCTACAACATAATGGATACACATAGTGATAGCAGGAAGCAGGGAGAGCATGAGATCAGAAACTGATCCTAGTGAGGTCCAGGAAGGAATTCTGGAGGATGTAAAACTGAAGTTAAGAGATGGCCAAGCCAAGAAGGATAAGAAAGAACACAGACAGAGAGAAAGGGGTAAGAAAGATATTATCAGGAGAGGGAGAAGCATGCGCAGAGGAAAGAGGTTAAGAGAGGGCTCTGGGAGTAGAGCTATATGACTGAATTATGTGGGGTCCGGAGGGGCAAGGCAGAAAAAAAGGCAGGGGCCAAATCTTGATGGGCAGAGTACGCCATGATAAGGAGTTTGGACTTTATCCCGAGTGTCCATTAGGACTTGTTTGAATGCAGATGACAGAGGGACAGTATGAGTGCCTAAAACAAGGCATATGTTTATCTATATCTGCACCAAGGCTGATGGGGAGGTTGTGCTCCTTAAAGCCCTGGGGGTGGATGGCAGATTCCTGCCACCTCATTTCTTTGCCATCTCTAGTATATTCATTTGCTAAGGTTGCCATAACAAAGTACTACAACTGAGTGGCTTAAACAACAGAAATTTAGTATCTCACAGTTCTGGTGGCCAGACACCCAAGATGAAGGAGTTGACAGGATTTGTTTCTTCTGAGGACTGTAAGGATAAATCTGTCCCAGGCCTCTCCCACAGCTTCTGGTAGGTTTCGAGAAATCTTTGGCATTTCTCGTTTTGTAGAAGCATCTCTGCCTTCACCTTGATGTTCATATAGTGTTCTCCCTATGTGTGTCTCTAGGTCCAAATTTCCCTTTTTTATAAGGACACCAGTCAGATTAGGGGCTTCCACTACTTCAGTATGTCCTCATCTTAACCCATTTACTTCTGCAATGAGCCTATAAGATCACATTCCAAATAAGGTCACATTCTAAGATACTGGAGGTTAGGACTTCAACATATAAATTCTGGGGGCAGAGGGTGGACAGAATTCAACCCATAACACCTAGGATGTGGCTCTTATCCTTATGGCCCAAGACAGCACTAGAGACCCAGCCACCACATTCACATTCAGAGTCTCCTTAAAGGGCCCATCCTTGCAGGTCCTTCTTCCACATGGACTCAGATGTTTGCTCTGAAGGTGCTAACAGATTCTGGTTCTGAGGTGATCATTGGAGCGTTGTACTCCTAAAGAGGGCACTGACCACTTGTTAGCAATGCCTCCTTCTTAGACATAGAGTCAGAGAAAAACCTGGCTGAAGAATGAGGACAGGGAGAGGGAAGGTTGTTGCCTTCCCAGATCATTCTAGAAGGACTTTGGGAAGAATAAGGGATTTCAGTACACATTCACAAGACCAAGTTGCTGGGCAATGTGGCTCATTTCCCACAGGTTGGCTTCATGTACCTCCCTTTCCCTTTTGCAATGTCTGTTCTCCTGTAGGTTGTGGTCACCCTGTGTTTATCTCCTTTACTAGACAAGATGTTCCTTGAGAGGAAACAAAGCCCCTTTGAGGTCTGATGGGTCTCACAGAGATGGGAGGGAGGTTGGGGATTCAAAGCTTAAATCTTAGCTCTAGCACTTATTAGCTGCAGAAACTTGATCCCCGCCCCTCCCAAAAAACTTTAGCTTTATCACTTGTAAAAATGAGATAACAATAGTTACCTTGTAGTGTTGTTATGATTATTAAAAACAACAAATGCAAGTGTGTGCGCTACAGTAGATGCTCAATGGTAAGTATTATCTATGATTTGTGCCCAGCTCAGGGCACCTGGCAGAGTAGGGGCCTCAATAAATATTCATTGCCCCAGTGGAAATCTTTTTTTAAAGATTTTATTTATTTATTTGAGATAGAGCAAGAGTGAGAGAGAGCACAAGCAGGGGGAGCAGCAGGCAGAGGGAGAAGCAGACTCCCCACCGAGCAGGGAGTCTGACGCAGGACTCGATCCCAGGACTCCAAGATCATGACCTGAGCCGAAGGCAGATGCTCAACCAACTGAGCCACCCAGGCGCCCCGCCCCAGTGGAAATTTAGATCACAACTAAAGCCCTGTGCTATACTCAGTTCTGGAAACTGATGATAAATTAAAATAGGTACTATTAAACACAAGACATTAGAAAAGAAACAGTTATCAAATTCAAGTATGATGGGGAGAAATACACATATCTAATGTAAAAAGTAACACCTGAAGTACATCATAATATGTATCATTTGTATCATATGTATCATTTTATGGCACAAGACTTCAATGTCTGATGGAATAAACAGGACAAAATGATTTGAGGAATTCCTTACACACCAGAGCCAAATCTGACTCAGCCACTCTCTCAAACACAGCAGTGATAGCCCAGGAAAGCCCTCTAAAAGAGAATTTGGTGTGAACTTGGACCAGGACAGATAATAAACTCCATGTATTGGTCCTACAGCAGGAATCTTTTCATATGATTTGGGGCTGCATATTTTACAGTGTCTGATCATAGGAAATGTCTCCCGAAGCATTAAGCTCTCCCACACCTGAAATAATATTTTCATTGCTAACAGTGCAAGGTCAAAAGAACTGGGTGTCTTACCTACGTGTGGGAAGGCATGTTTTGAATTTCTAAAACGAGATTTTACACAGATATTTTTGAAGAGCAGTCCAGCAATAAACTGAAGTAGGCCTGTAGCTATGATATGAAGTATCTGGTATTGGCCTGTAGATGTCTTCTAAAGCAGAGCTGTCGACAGAACTTCCTGTGAGGATGGAAATGTTCTGTATCTGTGCTAATTTGGTGGTTACTGGCTACATGGCTATTTTGATTCAAATTGAAATTAAAAATTCAGTTCAGTGATGCACTATCAAGGGTTATTATAAAACAAATAGCAATGAAGACTATGGTATTGATGCAAAGTAGACAAAACCAGTCTATCAAACAGAACAGAGTTGGGAACTAGGTCTACACATATATGGCCACCCGATTTATGACCACTGCAAATGGGGGAAATGATCTTTTAAATTAGCATGTTGGATTAATTGGATATCCACATGGGAAAAAAGGCATCTGGGTCCACTTCTATATCCCACCATTTACAACAATCAATTCCAAATGGATTACTGTTCTAAATGGAGCAAATTAGAATAGTAAAACTTTTAGAGGAAAACAGAAGAGAAATCTTAATAACCTGGAGTAAGCAGAGACTCCTTAAATCAGGAACACTCGCCATAAAAATTGACACATTGGAATATTAAAATTAAGATCTTTTTTTTCCTCGAAGGACTTCATTAAAAAATGAAAAGAAACCCAGAATGGGAGGAGATATTTGCCACATACAGACCTGACAAAAGATGCATATAAAAAAATCCTCTTATAATACATAAACAGACTGAGCTTATTTGTCCAGTGGCATATGACTCAGCAATAAAAAGAAGTAGATTGCTGACACGCAAAA